GCAAACTCCGCTATAGGCAAGAACTGGTCCTACGAGCCTCCGAAATCAATGACACAGGCTCGGAGCATATCCTCCAATATCTGAACAGTCCGCTCGGACTGGCCGTCCGTCTGAGGATGGAACGCTGTGCTCAACTGAACTTGGGTGCCCAACTCCTACTGAACTGCTCTCCAGAAGTGCGAGGTAAACTGCGTACCCCGATCTGAAATAATAGATGTCGGCACCCCATGAAGGCGAACAATCTCTCGGATGTAGATCTCGGCTAACCTCTCCGATGAATAAGTGGCTGCAACAGGAATAAAATGCGCTGACTTGGTCAGCCTATCAACAATGACCCAAATAGTATCAAACTTCTTCCGAGTCATCGGGAGTCCCGTAACGAAATCCATGGTAATCCTCTCCCACTTCCACTCGGGGAGCTCAATCCTCTGAAACAAACCACCAGGCCTCTGATGCTCATACTTAACCTGCTGACAGTTCAAACATCGAGCCACATATGCGACAATATCCTTCTTCATCCTGCGCCACCAATAATGTTGTCGCAAGTCCTGATACATCTTCGCGGCGCCCGGGTGAATAGAATATCGAGAACTATGGGCCTCCGCTAAGATCAACTCTCGAATCCCATCGACATTGGGCACACAAACTTGTCCCTGCAACCTCAAAACACCATCATCATCTAAGGTCACCTTCGTGGCACCTCCACGCTGCACCGTGTCTCTCAGGACACACAAATGGGGATCATCAAACTGCCGATCACGGATGCGCTCCAATAATGAAGAACGAGCGACCGTACAAGCTAACACTCTGCTAGGCTCAGCAATGTCCAACCTCACAAATCGATTGGCCAAGGCCTGAATATCCAGAGCAAGCGGTCTCTAGCTGACCGGAATATAAGCAAGACTACCCATACTGGCGGACTTCCTACTCAATGCGTCGGCCACCACATTGGCCTTACCCGGGTGGTATAAGATAGTAACATCATAATCCTTTAGCAACTCCAACCACCTCCTCTGTCTCAGATTCAACTCCTTTTGCTTGAACAAGTACTGAAGACTCTTGTGATCGGTGTACACCTCACACGTCACACCATATAGGTAATGCCTCAAAATCTTCAAAGCATGAACGATGGCTACCAACTCTAGATCATGAACCGGATAATTCTTCTCGTGGATCTTCAACTGCCTCGAAGCATAAGCAATGACTCTGCCATCCTGCATCAATACTGCACCAAGTCCAATACGGGAAGCATCACAATAAACTGTATAAGGCCCTGAGCCTGTGGGCAAAACCAATATCGGTGCCGTAGTCAGAGCTGTCTTGAGCTTCTGAAAGCTCGCCTCACACTCGTCCGACCATCTGAACAGGGCACCCTTCTGGGTCAATCTGGTCATCGGGGCTGCTATGGATGAAAATCCCTCTACGAACCGGCGGTAATAACCTGCTAACCCCAAGAAACTCCGAATCTCAGTCGCTGATGCTGGTCGAGGCCAGTTCTTGACTGCCTCAATCTTCTTCGGGTCCACCTGAATACCCTCTGCTGATACGACATGACCCAGAAATGCAACCGAACTCAACCAAAACTCACACTTCGAGAACTTAGCATATAACTGACTATCTTTCAGAGTCTGAAGAACCACCCTAAGGTGCTGCTCGTGCTCCTCCTGGCTGCGGGAGTACACCAAAATATCATCAATAAAGACTATCACGAACATGTCCAAATATGGCCTGAACACTCGGTTCATCAACTCCATGAATGCTGCTGGGGCATTGGCCAACCCAAACGACATGACCAGGAACTCATAATGCCCGTACCGAGTGTAGAATGCTGTCTTAGGGACATCAGATGCCCTAATCCTCAACTGATGGTAGCCAGATCTCAAGTCTATCTTTGAAAAAACCTTTGCACCCTGAAGCTGGTCAAACAAATCATCAATCCTCGGCAGTGGATACTTGTTCTTTATCGTCACCTTTTTCAATTGCCGGTAATCAATGCACATCCTCAGCGATCCATCCTTCTTCTTCACAAATAACACCGGCGCACCCCAAGGAGAAACACTAGGCCTGATAAAACCCTTCTCTAGCAAGTCTTGCAACTGGTCCTTTAACTCCTTCAACTCTGGCGGGGCCATGCGATACGGCGGAATAGAAATGGGCTGCGTGCCTGGGGCCAGATCAATACGGAAATCAATATCCCTGTCGGGCGGCATACCCGGCAGGTCTGAAGGGAAAACCTCGGGGAACTCCCGACAATAGGAACAAAGTCAATAGAAAGAACCTCCGTGCTGGAATCGCGAACATACGCCAGATAAGCTAAACACCCCTTCTCGACCATGCGCCGAGCCTTCACATATGAAATAAGACTGTGGGTGGCATGACCTGGGGTCCCTCTCCACTCCAATCGGGGCAAAATAAAGCTATACATTTTTGTATAGCTTTATGGTAAAAAAAAATGATAACCAAATGCTCTTATTAGTGATTTTCATGCATTGTAGACTATATCCAATAAAAGAAGTCTGTGGAGTACTTTTGGGATCAATTATGGAGAAAAGGAGGCCAATCATACAATACCCACAAAGTGCACCAAGCGAAGGGACAAAACCAGAACTGAAGCTGGCCTGCCGCTGTCCGGGCGTAACCGCGGTAGAACCGCGGCAGAACATTGCTGCAGATTCAGAGGACCATTCTGGCCGCGGTCCTGGTATAACGGCGGTGGGACCTCGGCAGGACACAGAAAATTCAGGGACCAAAGCGTCAAGTCGGGAAAACTTGGTGTAAAACCCTTATAAGATGTAGAAATTCGGCCACATTAGGGCAGGATTGATTTGGAGATTATTTTGGCAAGACAAAAGTGTGAGAGATCACCCAAAAACATCATAGTTCTTTATTTTTTTTTTCTTGCTATTTTCGATTATGAATATTTTCGTAGTTTATCCTTACGTTGTTATGAGTAGCTAAATACTTTAGTCTAAGGTGTTGATGGAACCTATTGAAGAATGAACTTCTTGATTATGTTAATATAGTTTGCCAGTTAATCTCTATTTGTTCAACTACGTGTTTGTTGTAGTTAATTGACAGGATCCTCAATTAGCTGTGCCTATTTAGTGTGCATAACTCAGAAGAGAGTGCATATTTAGGTAATTGTTGAACAACACCACTCCCAAAGTATAAGAGGGATCTATAACTGCGGGTTTAAAAGCGGGATTAGGGATAACGAAGCCTTGGGTGCAATCTAAAGTGAGCTGTAATAAACAGAGTCAGCTAGCGTATCTCGGGAGAGTGCGTCAAGTAAATTATCGCGATTACTCGGGAGAGATTTACGGTAAAAAGAGTGTTCATGATTGATAGAGATGTTTTGGTGAATCTATATGAAACATATCCGGAAAGGATTCCATCAATAGGGGAAATCACTACCTTAGAACCTTCCTATTATTGTTTACAACCCAAGCATATTTAGTGTACAGCTGTTTATTTATTTTCAGTCTTAGTTATTAGAAATACCATCAACTATTGTTTACAACGTTTGGGAAGTTGATTATAAAGAATTTAGTAAGTCCAGCAAAAGTAATTGATAGGCTTAATTCTCTGTGGATTCGACTCTTGGCATAAATACTTAGGTTATATTTGCAACGTCCGCGTGTCCTTTTATAAGGCATAGTTGGGCGAGATCAAATTTTGGCGCCGTTGCCGGGGAATTAACGGTGTTATCAATTACAATTGAAAGAAGTACAAAAATTCTTAGTGTAGTCTGTTTTCTCTATACCCAATTTTTATATTGAAATTTTAACGTTTGTTGACTGGGTTGCACAGGTACATGCCTAGAAACTCATCGAGATCTGGTGAAGTATTTGAAGCATTATCAGATCCCGAGAAAGTTTTCAAGGCTTTGAATCGGGCCAACCGGAAAAACAAACAACAACCAACAACTGTACAATTCAAAACAATCATGGGAGATCACGAGGAAAACCCAGGAGTTCCAATAGTGCCAGAGGCTGCTCTCTATGACTGGGCACAACCCACAGCTGAGAATCTATCCACAGCGATAGTAGTCCCGCATATACAGGCTGAGTCATTCCAAATCACAAATAACATGCTGCACTTGTTGCAGAATAAGGGACTTTTTTCGGGGTCACAAGTTAAAGATCCTCAGCAGCACTTGAAGAATTTCTTGCCTATCTACAAAACCCAAAGGCAACCCAATGTAACTCCGGAAGCAATAAAGCTGTTATTGTTTCCATTCTCAGTGACAGGAGCTGCCCAGACCTGGCTAAATTCACTCCCCATAAATTCTATAACAACGTGGGAAGAACTAGTGAAGCAATTCCACAACAAGTTCCACCCACCCAACAAGACGGCTCAACAAATTGATGAGACTTCGAGCTTTAAACAGAGACCGATGGAAACACTGCATGAAAAATGGGAGCGTTTCAAAGGGATGCTGGTCATTTGTCCACACCATGGTGTTCCAGATCTAATGTTGGGGCAGCGGTTTTACATGGGATTGTCAGATAGCGTAAAGAACATTGTTGGATCTTCAGCTGGTGGGGCATTCTTGAGCAAAACATGGAGAGAGGGCCAGAGTCTGCTTGACAAGATGGCACAGAATTCGGGGTGGATAACCAGAAATGCACCTATCACTCCAGTGGTGCACTCAGTGCCTTTAGATCCATCCCATTCTATGGCTGAAAATATGGCCACCTTATTGACACAGATGAGCATACTCACCAAAAAGGTGGAAGAGTTAGGGCAGAAACAGCAGGTACATATTGTTGATACTATTAATGGGGGCTTGTGCACATCTTGCATTAGTTAGCCAGTTGGTAACCAGTGGAACGCAGAACACGATCATCATTCTCTACCCTGAAGACATGAACTATGTGTCTAATTATGGTGGCCAGAGACAGGGTGGTCAGAATTGGGGTCAACAGAATCAGCAGTACAGGCCAGCACAGCCACAGTTCAACACTGGGAACATGGGAGGTATGAGACCCCCCAACAATATGGCACCTTACCCAAGACCACAAGGATACAATAATCAGAATCAGCAGCAGGGGTATCACCCGCCTCAGCAGCACCATGGTGGAAGGCAGGAAGATGGGTTTGCTAGACTTAAAGCAATGATGCAACAGGTTATTGGATCTAATGCAAATATTACTGAGAGAGTTGATGCACATGATGCAGCAATCAAAAATATTGAGGTACAGGTGGGCCAAATTTCGATGTCTCTGAACAATCGTCCTCATGGGACACTACCTGTAGACATCCAGATAAACCCAAAAGATCAGGGACCGAAGCAGCTGATGGCGGTGAGCCTACGTAATGGCAGAGATCTAGATGTAGAGCAAGAAAGGGCTCGAGAAGCTAGACAGGCTGAGACACTCATACCAGTGCCCATTGAGCTGGATGAATCAACGAAACTGACAGAGGTGACAGTCCAGCCTGCTCAGGAAGAAAATACCATTCAGAAGGAGACCAAGGAAGAAGCTGAAATAGTCCAGGAGCCAATAGTTGATGTAGCAGTTGATAAAGATCAGTCCCAATTGATTGGGAAGAAGAGACCTCCTGCACCCTTCCCCCAGAGGCTGGCTAAGTACAAAAAGGAGGAGCAATACAAGAAGTTCTTTGAAATGCTAAAGCAAATCCAGGTAAATATACCATTGATTGAAGCTTTGAAGGAGATGCCTGGGTATGCAAAAATGATGAAGGACTTAATGTCCCGGAAGTTTGATTTTCAAGACTTGGCCACAGTTACTCTTACTCAGACCTCTATTGCAGTGGTAACTAGAACAATTGCGGAAAAGCTGTCTGACCCAGGGAGCTTTACAATTCCATGCACTATTGGTAATTTTGCTTTTGCTAAGGCACTGTGTGATCTAGGGGCCAGCATCAATCTTATGCCCCTGGCAATTTATAAGAGGCTGGGCATTGGAAGAGCTAGACCCACCTCTATGTTGTTATAGCTGGCTGACAGGACTGTGAAATGACCCTCTGGTATCCTGGATGATGTGCTGATTCAGGTAGGGAAATTTGTGTTCCCAGCAGATTTTGTGATCCTAGACTGCAAGGTGGATGAAGAGATTCCCATAATTTTGGGAAGACCGTTCCTGGCCACGGGGAGAGCTCTAATTGATTGTGAGACTGGGGAGCTCAAGATGAGACTGAACGATGAAGAAATAACATTCAATGTGCAGAAATCTATGAGGCGACCAAGTGAATTCGCCAATTGCTCTCTTATTGATGTCGTGGATGTAATTGTAGAGACTGACGATGAAAGGCTGACTATTGAGGACCCCCTTGCTGCGTGTTTAATGAATTTGGATGAGGTAAATGGAGAGGATCTGGCGGAATGGGTGTTGGCGCTAGAGGGTAGAGGGTTCTGGGATAGGACTCTAGAATTTGAGCCCTTGCACTTGGAAAATCGAGAAACTCCTCCAGCCAAGCCATCAATTGAAGAACCACCAAAGCTGGAGTTAAAGCCATTGCCCGCCCATCTCAGGTATGAATTTCTTGGACCTAACTCCACATTACCTGTTATTATCTCATCTAGTTTGTTAGATGTGCAGGCTCAACAACTGTTGCTGGTACTTAAGGAGTGCAAGACTGCCATTGGGTGGACCATGGCAGACATAAAGGGGATCAGCCCCGCCTACTGTATGCACAAAATTCTACTAGAAAAGGGACACAAACCTTCCAGGGAACACCAATGAAGGCTGAACCCCAATATGAAGGAAGTGGTGAAGAAAGAAGTAATCAAGTGGTTAGATGCGGGAATCATTTTCCCAATCTCTGACAGCAGCTGGGTTAGCCCAGTTCAATGTGTTCCTAAAAAGGGTGGCATAACGGTAGTTAAGAATGATAACAATGAACTGATCTCTACAAGAACCGTCACGGGCTGGAGAATTTGCATGGACTATCGAAAGTTAAATCTAGCCACCCGGAAAGACCACTTCCCACTTCCCTTCATTGATCAGATGTTAGACAGATTGGCAGGGAGGTCACATTTCTATTTTCTGGATGGGTACTCAGGGTACAATCAGATCTCCATTGCTCCGGAGGATAGAGAGAAGACCTATTTCACTTGCCCGTATGGCATTTATGCCTTTCGAAGGATGCCCTTCGGCCTATGCAACGCACCTGCCACATTCCAACGGTGCATGATGGCCATATTCACTGACATGGTAGAGGATATAATGGAGGTGTTCATGGATGACTTCTCAGTGGTGGGGAACTCATTTGATGAGTGCTGAAGCGGGCGGTGTATCGAGACTAACCTGGTTCTGAATTGGGAGAAGTGCCACTTTATGGTACAAGAGGGTATAGTCTTAGGACACCGGGTGTCAAGCAAAGGAACTGAGGTGGATCGTGCAAAAGTAGATGTGATAGCAAGGCTACCTCCTCCGATTTCAGTCAAGGCAATCAGAAGCTTCCTCGGACATGCCGGTTTCTATCGGCGATTCATAAAAGACTTCTCAAAAATTGCCAACCCTCTCTGTAAGTTGTTAGAAAAAGATCACCCTTTCTTGTTTTCTGATGATTGCAGGGTAGCATTCGAGGAGCTAAAAAAGATGTTGGTCACAGCACCTATCATAGTTGCCCCCGACTAGGAGCAACCGTTCGAACTCATGTGTGATGCTAGTGACTACGCAGTGGGGGCAGTGCTGGGACAGCGGAAAGACAAGCTGATGCATCCAATATACTATGCTAGTAGAACGCTGAGTGGAGCCTAGTTGAACTACACTGTCACTGAGAAGGAGATATTGGCTGTGGTGTTTGCTTTCGACAAGTTCAGATCGTATCTGATTGGGTCTAAGGTAATTATATACACTGACCATGCAGCTCTCAGGTACTTGATTGAGAAGAAGGAGTCTAAGCCGCGCCTGATTCGTTGGGTGTTGCTACCGCATGAATTCGACCTTGAAATTTGTGATCGTAAGGGCAGAGAAAATCAAGTCGCTGATCATCTATCTTGACTTGAGGGAGCTGAAAATGCGGTTGAGGTTGAGGACATTCTGGAAACTTTTACAGACGAGCAGCTGCTCGCTACTAGTCTTGAGGAAGCGCCATGGTATGCAGACTTTGCTAGTTACCTGGCCAGTGGTATATTTCCTTATGACCTCTCATCTGTCCAAAGAAAAAAGTTTTATCGTGATAGCCGCATCTATTATTGGGACGAGACTTATCTGTTTAGAATATGTGTTGACAGTATGATCCGGAGGTGTGTCCCCGAGATAGAACAATCTTCTATTTTGCAGGTTTGTCACGCATCAGCATATGGAGGACATTTTGGAGGGGTCAGGACAGCTGCAAAAGTGCTTGAGGCCGGATTCTTTTGGCCAACAGTGTTTAGAGATGCGCACCTATGGGTGAAGGGCTGCAATGAATGTTAGCGAACTGGGAACATCTCCCGTCGCCGCGAGATGCCCATGAACCCGATTCAAGAGGTGGAAGTGTTTGATGTCTGGGGGATTGACTTCATGGGTCCCTTCATCAGCTCCTTTGGCAATAAATACATACTTGTTGCTGTGGATTACGTGTCTAAGTGGGTAGAAGCTACGGCGTTGCCCACTAATGATGCAAGAGTAGTGGTGGGATTTTTGAAAAAGAACATATTCACCCGATTTGGGACACCAAGAGCGATTATCAGTGACAGAGGTGTATGGAGATGTATGATAAAGTCCCGAGAGAAGTCCTATGGAGATGTATGGAGGCTAGCGGTTTCCTAGTGGTGTATATTAGGGTGATTAAGGACATGTACGAGGGAGCCAAGACTCGGGTGAGGACTGTGGGATGAGACTCAAATCATTTTCCCGTAGAGAAGGGTTGCATCAGGGATCGGTTCTTAGCCCATTTTTGTTTGCCTTAGTGTTAGAGGTGCTGACGCGACACATACAAGAGGGGTGCCGTGGTGTATGCTATTCGCTAATGACACAATACTGATTGATGTGACACGTGATGGAGTTAAGGCTAGGTTGGAAGTTTGGAAGAGATGCTGGAGTCTAAGGGTTTTAAGTTGAGTAGGTCAAAAACTGAGTACTTGGAGTGCAAGTTCAGTGATGGGATGCATGAAGAAGGAGTGAAAGTGAAGATTGGTACTCAAGTCGTCCTCGAAAGAGATAGTTTCAAGTATCTTGAGTCGATTATTCAAGGCAACGGGGAGATTGATGAGGATGTTACCCATCATATTGGAGCGGGGCAGATGAGGTATAGGCTCGCCTCGGGGATTTTGTGTGATAAGAGTGTGCCACCGGGACTTAAGGGCAAGTTATATAGAGTGGTGGTTAGACGGTTATATTGTTTGGGGCTGAGTGCTGGCCCGTCAAGAAGTTCCATATCCAGAAGATGAAAGTAGCTGAGATGAGGATATTGAGGTGGATGTATGGTCTTACCGGTAAGGACAAGATGAGGAGTGAAGTTATTAGGGACAAGGTAGGAGTGGCATCTATGGAGGACAAGTTGCGGGAGTCGAGGATGAGATGGTACGGGCATGTGAAGAGGAGAGACATAGATGCTCCGGTCGGGATGTGTAAGAGGTTGTCCATTGCAGGTTTGAGGAAGGGTAAGGGAAGGCCTAAGAAGTATTGGGGAGAGGTAGTTAGGCAGGACATGTCATTGCTCCAGCTTACTAAGGATATGACCCACGATAGAAAGGAATGGAGGTCGAGGATTGGGGTTGTAGGTTTACAGTTGGTAGTGTGTCCCTCCTAGGATTACCAGTAGTACTTGGTTTGTGTTCTCTTATTCATGATTCTTTGCTATTACATACTGTGTCATTCGTGCCTGTTACCTTAATATATTGTTGTTACTATTGTTGGCTACTTGTTGTCTTATCTCCACTGTTCCTTGAGCCGAGGGTCTATCGGAAACAACCTCTCCATCTTTATAAGGTAGGGGTTTGCGTACACACTTCCTTCCCCAGATCCCATTTATGGGAGTATACTGAGTTTATTGTTATTGTTGTTATACAATTCTTATGTCCAAACGCCCGCTTAGCTTCTCCGTTCCTATTTTGACTCTTATTCATGCGCCAACAATTTGAATGCACGTCAGAAATGAGTGAGCGATGATACTATTTATTTGTACTCGGTATTTATATGACATTACATTTAAATTAAATGTGAATGTTATGTCCGAGTAAGTAACGAAATATTTATCCAAAAGATAACTCCGTCTTCTTCTTTTATTTTCTTTTTTCTTAATAGTATATAATTATAATTGCTATTCAAAAGTCTACCTCAAACTAGCTCGATTGGAAAATGACGAAGTTGGACCTGCATGTTATGTCCTTTCTCCACCAATTAAAACTTTTATTAAAATACTTGTATTTGGCATAATCCTACGCTCCAACTGTTTAACCTTAAAAATTAGTAACAATTATATTTGTATGTGGTTTAAAGGATTTAATTCAATATGAATGATCTAGTAATAACAAGTAATTAAATTAAATACAAATGAACAATCAAACTAATCATAATGTGATGATCAAGCCTGATCTTACGTTGAACACTAAAATTCGGCCTCGATCAGACCCTTGATATAAGCTTAGTTGTGATTAAAGAAGAGAATAACTGAAGAACACATTGAATAACAATTAGAAGACAAAAATGAACTTTTATTGCTTTGATATGCATGTCAACCATGTCTTAACATGAAAAAAAATCTCCCCTTATATAGTAGGGAAATTTCAGTCCTAATACAAGTCTAAATAGGGTAAAAATCTTCTTTTATCGATAAATGTCGATCCGCGGTTGATATAGGACGAAATTCGCGCCGTGATCTGGTTGAGGGTGAATATTACGGCTCCCTACTTGTCATGCCCAGTCGTTCCTCATTTTCCCGTCGTCTCGAAACTTTACTTGGTCTGGGTCTGTTATTTTGCCGTGCTCGATCCCAGATACATCGCTCACTCCTCCCAAGTTCTGATGCAAGGGATCCTTCGGCCTTGCTTGTAGTTGCGTCGAACTGTACTTCCCTCTTATTTCCTTATTGGGGAATCGAGGAAAATATTACCCCGATTTTACCCGTACACACATAGTCCCCTCGCTTTTTGGAAAGCAGGTTTATTGAAGCGACGGGAAGCGACTAATTGACCCCGGATCCTTCCTCAGTATGCTATAACCGAGTCGATGAGTCAGTGAAACATCTCATCAGTCGCGTCGTTCTGACTTCGAACACATGTCAGCCGCCGGTTAACTGTAGTCGAATGCGAAATGTCACGCATTGGTTACCCCCTCTCTATAAAGCTTCGGACCTTTTTTCACTTTTTTACTTTTCGACTCTGGAACTCCTTAATTACCCCAGAACTTTTCACTTGTTCATAACCCCTTCAAATCTTCATACATTGTTCTATATATCTTCATATCTTCATACTTCATCTTTAAATCTTCAAGTTTGACCTTCAAACCTTCATCCTCATCTTTAAATCTTCATCCTCACCTTCGAATCTTCATATTTTCCAGAATTCAATGGCGAAGACTTCGAAATCTGTGCCTCAACAGACTGTCCCTTCTACTTCTAATCCGGCCAAGGATGCTGAGGTGGTCGTATCTGAAGTGGCCCTAAAACCTCCCCTAAAGAACTTCATCCCCAGAGACTACTCTATTGATAACGACTTCAAGGTCAAAAAAGCCTCCAGTCAACAGGATCGAGGCGAGCATGTATGTAGGTGCTCCATTACCGAGGATATGCTCGATACGATCCAAGAGGACTGCAAATGGAAGGGCAAGGAAGTGGTCGTCCCCGGTTCTGATGAGGACACCACCACATATGTGGAGAGGTAAATTAGTGCTTATACCTACCCCTTCACACTTGCCCGATAGACCTCATAGTCCTCGATTTTTGCAAAAGGTACGGGGTCTGCCTCAGACATATTAACCCATCCTTTTAGGAGGATCGTGATCCTCCTCTGCCACTTCGTTAACAACACCGAGGCAACCCAATTTACTCTCAACCATCTGCTTCGTCTCTAAAGTCCCCAAATACTTTGAGGGGATTAATCAAGCTTGTTCGTCAGGCAAAAAAAGATCCACTCTCGAGCATCGACGAAGATAGGGATTGAGGCTGGCATGTAAGATTCGTTTGCGTGAAAACCGAGGATCTCATTTCCTCCAAGTTCCTAGTGTTCTCCGAAAAGTGGAACTTGGCCCGCACGCCCTTCTCCTTTTTGATTACTTAGAATTTCTTTTGGATTTTTGTTCTTCCTTTTCATTGACTTTTTCTTCCTTTTGAACAAAGATGTCGTATTTCTAGCGCGAATGGCGCAAGCTCTCGAAGGGCAAGTGGGAGGCCAATTCCCATTGTGAGTGCTTTTCCCGACCAAACTTACCTTCATATTCAACTGTTTTTCTCTAAATCTCTCTCTTTCTTTCATAGGTTTTCCCAAGACCACTGGGTTCCGGGCGTTGGATGAGGATGAGGCCTCGTCCTCACCCGATAAACCTATCACGACCCAAAAATCCATTAAAGGACGTGATGGCGCCTAATACTGTTTTCAAGAAAGTCAACAATAATTGATTAACTTGATTACTGCAATGACCCGACCGGTCGTTTTGAGCTTTTGCACTTTGCTCGCTGGTCCTCGGGCATGACTTGCCCCGTGTGGTGTATTATGACTTATGTAAATCGTTGGTTTTGGTTTCACGTTAATCAGAATGAATTTTGAAGAACAGTTCTCAGTTTAAAGCTTAAAAATTTGAAAGGTTTGACCAAGATTTGACTTGTTTGTATGCGATCTCGGATCGGAATTTTTATGATTTGTTAGCTCTGTTAGGTGATTTGGGACTTAGGAGCGTGATCGAAATGCATTTTGGAGGTCCGTGGAAGGTTTAGGCTTGAATTGGCGAAATTAAGATTTTGGCGTTTTCCGGTTGATAGGTGAGATTTTGATATAGAGGTCGGAATGAAATTCCGGAAGTTGCAGTAGTTCCGTTGTGTCATTTGGGATGTGTATGCAAAATTTCAGGTCATTCGGACGTGGTTTGGTTGAGTTTTTGATCAAAAGCGGAATTTGGAAGATTTTAGGAAGTTTGGCTTGAATCTGATATGTTTTGGGTGATTTGATGATTGGAACAAGTTTGAATATTAGGATATGTTTTGTGCTTTTGGTTGAGGCCACGGGGACCTCGTGGTGATTTCGGATGGTTAACGGGAAGTTTGGATTGTTGTTGCAGCTGCTGAATTGCTGCTTCTGGTATTTTCGCACCTGTAGAGTGGGGACCGCAGGTGCGGCACCGCACGTGCGGGAGATCTATCGCAGAAGCGAAAAAAGGTCAGGTGAGGAGAGACCACAGAAGCGGTAAGTTGACCACATCTGCGATGTCGCAGATGCGAAATTTTGGTCGCAGATGCGATTTAGGCTGGATAAGTGAATTCCGCAGAAGCGGAGGATATAACCGCAGAAGCTGGTATTGTGCCGCAGATGCGTAAAGGTCTGGGCAGAGCATATAAGTTATTTCATTTCGCGAATTTCAGCTATTTCACCATTTTTAATTTCGGCTTGGGAGCTTTTTGGACGATTTGAAAGAGGGATTTCAAGGAAACTCCATTGAGGTAAGGATTTTTGACCTAAAACTCGTTCCTATGTTATTATTTCATAGATTAGAGCTAGAAATTATGGAAATTAAGGGTGAAAATTGGGAAAGCTAGGGCTTAGGATTGGAGACCTATGATTTAGGATTTGATTGACCATTTGAGGTCGGATTTCTGAACTTTTGCTATGTATGAACTCGTGGGGAGATACGAAATCTATTGGTGTAAAAATTATCAAATTCCGATACGTGGGCCTAGGGGTCGGGTTTTGGTAATTTCGGGATTTGTGCTAATTGTTGACTATTTTCGCTTGGGCTTCGTTCCCTTAGCCTATTTTGACGTCCTCGTTCTGATTGTGGATAGATTCGACGCGAGTGGAGGCCGATTCGAGGGGAAAAGGCGTCGCGAGCTAGAGATTTGACCGGTTCGAGGTGAGTAATGATTGTAAATGATGTTCTAAGGGTTTGAAACCCCGAATTGCACATCGTAGTGCTATATTGAGGTGAGGCACACGCTTGATGATGAGCGTGGGGTCGTGCACTATTGGGGGTTGTGACTTGGTCCGTCCCGATTGATGATTTTTCTGCGTAGTTGACTGAAATCTATTTGCTATCGTTATTATTTGGGCTGAATGCCATATTTGGGCTTCAGGCCAATTATTTGAACCATTCGGGGATTTTTGTTGATATTTCCTCACTGTTTGACTTTATACTTGAACTCAGTCATGTTATTTTCCACTGTTTTCAAAACTCAGCCATGTTCACTCAGTTTTAATACTCAAATGATATTTAAATGATATTTTGGGCTCAGAAACACTGT